TTTGCTTGTCCATCTCTAATGCTTAGTTAAGTTATTGCTAAACTATTTTCAGTAGTCAACATAATAGTCCTATAATTTACAACTAATTTACGCCAATTTTATGTAAATACTTTTGGCTCATAAGTTTTGCAACCAGTTAAATAGCTTTTGTCTAGACACAACGCTTATTGGCTTAAACGCCGGCAAACTGGTTTCTTGTGCAGCTGTCGAGCTAATGAAAACATTGGATAGCATTAAAAATTTGTCATTGCAAATCAGCAGCTTCCCCTCACCACACCCCTCACACCTTATTCGGTCACATTCGCCACTCAAAGCGAATACACATATCCGGGAATTTGCTGTAACCCAACTCGGGCTCACATATGAGATTAATACCCATGCACATTTATAGCTGGATATATGACATATCTCTATGTATATATGTAAACTAGGAATGTTCATACACTGAGAGAAAATATCCCGTATGTTGTGCTATATTAAGGTACGAGTTAATGAGCTTAAGAGCGAAATTCTTTTACTAAGAACTTCACTTCTATTTACAAAATTTCTTACTTACTTTAAGTTTTATTTGTAGAATACTTTTAAGATTACTTAATACTTCATCGAAGTGTACTTCATTTACTGTAAACATTTCAATCAATTCATATCCAACATTTTGTAGCCTATTTTAAGTTTGTTCAAGAATGAAATGCATTTAAATATCAGACAGAATTTAGTAAATTGTTTTTCGCTAAGTGTATTATGTTGGAGTATCTGTGCTAACTTGCACACAGCGTGCAGTCCTCAATTTGAGTTGCCGTTTATTGAGTCACTTAAGAGCTACGCAAATGAGTTAACACCTGGCAAAGGTAGCAACGTGTTTTGTTGGGCAGCCTTTGGAAGCCAGGAGAGAGAAACGGCGGTTGGGAAGTTGTTTGTCTGGCGCTGCTTTTGAATGCAAAATTATGCGACAGCCGAGGCGCAAAAACTGTGTGCATCTAGACACCAGACAACCGAGATTGTGGGCATAGAGTTGTCGTCGTTTTGGCCTGGTTTGTGAGCTGCCACGCCTAGCCGCCTGTGACGGCAGCAAATTGGCAGTTTCAGATAAAGATAATGTTATGGCTTCTGTGGCTGTTGCGGATGCTGCTGCTGCTGCTGTTGCTGTTGCTGCTATTAAGACTTTTACTTTAGTAGGTGTCACATTTCTCTCTCTGTTGCTCCTTCGATGCTTCTGACAAATAAAGCTCGCAATTTAAAACACAGCAGCAGCATTCGTTCGCTTTGGCCAGCTTTGCAGCTCTTTTGGCCACATTGATGGGCAGCCATAAAGCATAAGCTGGCCATCATTTTGGCCCCCGACTCGTAGACTGTTTTTGCCGGCTAACGACGGTCTATTTAATTGGCAATTTCAGCGAAGCAGCGCGAAAAAAAATAAATAAAAATAAAAACAAATAATAATAAAAAATAACCAACATTAATAAATTAATTAGCGCAGCGCGCGTAAAGAAGTTGGAAAAACTCTTAGCAGCCCAGCCGAGCGAAGAGTCAATTAAAATTTACGCAGACAACTCAGAAGACACCCAAATGGGGTCGAGCTGGGCGCCCATTTACGCTGCCAAGCAAATGCAGGACAGCACGAAAACAAATAATAATAATTGCAACAGACTCTAAAAAAAAGGGGCTAAAAATGCGCTTGAAAACTGAGCTATAAAAAAATAGGGGAAACTATTTACTATTTGAGGTTTTAAACGAAGTATTTAAAGTAGAATCCTATTCGGGGAGGAGCATTTGCTCTCAAGTATATTGAAGAGTATAGATAAATTTGGTTTTAGTTTTTAATTCAGGCAAACAAATCTACGATCAATAAAGAATATATTAGCTATTTAAACAGTTTTAAATATATGTTTAACTAATTAATCTGATTTATAAACCATTTTTCGCACTACAAATCGAGTAGAACTTAATATACTCTTCAATTCAACGTTTGGCTGTAGCTACACCTCAGGCTAAGTTTGCATGCAACGGCAATAGCTGTCGGGTCTGCCCCCGCCTGCCGCCACATGAAGTGAAATTGCGCACATGGCAGACATTAAGCGAAAATTAATGAAATTTTCTTTACGCTAGCGGAAAGGTGGCTTAGCCCTGACTCCCAGCTACAGTGCTTTATCTGGCTGGGGCTGCGGCTGTTATCCTGCCATCAGGCACGAAGCCTGATTGAGTTTGATGGCGATTGTGTGCGCTCTGACTCTGACTTGATTGCAATTTTCAGAGACAGCAGCAGCAGGTACAAGCAGCAGCAGACAGGCACAGCCGGCGGCCACCTGCATACCAATCAGACCAATGGCAGCAGCAGCAGCAGCCGGTGAGTCTATGGCCTCGTCAGTCATTAAGGCCTCCGGCACGGCATATTGCCGTGCTCACATTAGTTTCTCTACCTTTTTTTCCTGTTCTCCTTGCCCAGATTGATGAGTGAGCTGAGCTCTCTGTTTAGCTAAAGCTAGCAAAAATTACGTTTTGAGAGGCCGTGCTTGGAAGTGCTTTAAGTTGAATTGCTGTTCATAACTTTCCATTTGCTTTGCCAAGACAATTGTCATAGAAAATGCATTCAACTGTAAGAGTCTCTGATAGAGAAATGAGATTTTCAATATTTGCTGCATTGCAATTGTTGTTGTGAATTATGATTTGAGCCAGGTCGAATTGAATTTAATTAATGACCTGCAGCTAGTCAAGCGTATTCAGCTGTTTGCCAACTCTAATTTAGGTATCATAGCTAACAAAATGATGTTGGCAACTTTATTATTAATTTATTTTATTATAATTTATTAATATATTGTTAAACTGCTTTGCCAGATTGCTAAAATGTTCTGCAGTAATTCAAAGCATTGATTACTGACACTGCCCTTGTCAATTCTGTTAATAGTATAGATAAGTCTCAGATTGCCTTAAAGTGATTCCTATGCAGCTCTCAATCTGACTTACTCATCACTTGCAGCAATAATGCCTCTATATATACATCAACTACAATTTCAAGTTGTCTGCTGCCCCTTGAGCAACATCCCAAGAATTCCAGCCCCTAAACAGCAGAAAACTTATTATGGTCTTAGTGCGCATTTAATAATGCATTTCAATGCCAAACAGCAGCTTATAATCATATCCAATAATATCCTTAATAAGTGCTCATAAGCTATATGAGCCGAGCCAGAGCTTCGCAATTTCTTCAACCTCCCCAAAGCAAAAGAGCAAAAGCAAGGCGCAGCAAAGTATGCTATGAAAATTGTTGAACGTGTTGCCGCAAGTATTTCAAGTGGCTGCCAGTTGATGCCATTTGATGCTGATGCCAATGCGGATGCGGATGCGGATGCGGATGCCATTGCTGATTTGTGTTTTGCATGTGCTGCATACTAAAGAGATGGCATTATCAGAGTGCCACGCCCATTTGGCTAAGAGCCTGCCATTAACTAAATGTTTAAATGAGTGTGGGAAAATTGCTCAAATTCAAAGTAAATATTCGAAATTTAAATGTTTTTATGCTGGACAATAACAGCCATGTAAAACGACGCCTGTTGTTGCTGCTGCTGCTGTTTGGACCATCTGACACGCACTTTCCATTCAATAAAGCTTAAACCGCACAATGGCGCAGCAATTTACACGCAATGCCCAGTTGGTATGTTGTCATTAAAGAGCCCAGTCCCTGCGATTCAAACACTATACGATTTTTGCCGCTGCTCTTTTTATTGCTGTTGCTGCTGTTGTTGTCGTTGTTGTTGTTGTTGTAACCACCAAATGCACAGCAGCCAGTAGCCCCAACGGTGGCACAGCGTTCGCGAGCATTTTGCATTTTAATGAGTAAACGTTCAAGGGGGGGCGCTGCCTGTCTGCTTTTGGTGGCCACTGTGAGCTCATAGTGAGAGCACTGCATGTGCCGAGTGCGTTTGTAGTTCATGGCGGAATGCGGGAGCTGAGAGGCTGAGAGGCTTTGGGGGGAGCGCAGCACAATTTCAGGTTGGCAAAAACAAATTTTACCTCGAAGTCCGCAGCATGCAATCCGGTTTTTTTTATTTTAAAGATTCCAACAATGTGAAAGTTTTTCACCCCAATTTTTTTTTTTAAGCTCGAAACCCCTCGAACAATTTGTATTTGCAATGTGAACACAAAATGGCAACCGGCGAGCCGCGCTGCTCAAAGTCCACCTGCTGTTTGATTTGTGTCCTGTGTGCTCAGTGTTCGAAAGTGCACAAAAAACCGAAAAGATTAAAAAAAGTACAAAACGAATTGGAATTGTCCGTTTTGCATTCACGCTTCGATGATAAATATCACCCCCCCAAATAGACAAAGCCATTAAAAAAGTGTGCTAAATATTATCATTCCCGTTTTTCAACACTCTCTTTTTTTTAGCTAGTTCAATAAACAAGCAGAAAAATCTGTTGCTGCAAATATTTGCAAAACGCAAATTAAATTCAATATCAGTAAATTCCACCCTCCGATCGGTTTAACACTCATTTTCGAAACTCTTTGAGAGCGAGGGCAAGGCCAGGGTATAGCCGATATCCTTTATACACATAGTTCAAAATTTCCCAGCCCCATAACTTGGTCAAAACTCAACCAATTTCTATAAAGTTCGCCTCTTTGTTCATGGCTTAGCCACTTGATCAATTTGAAAGCTGTATCTGACATTATTCTTGTCTGCCAAGATTCTTTAGAGCATTTATTTTACACGTATCACTGGCTAGGCTGGGTGTTATATATACAATATATAGACATTATGCAGTCGACTTTTAACTAGTTCGTAACCGGATTATAATACTCTAGGGCTATTGAACATTAAGCTCTGGCATTCAAATAATTATGTGCTCAATATAAAAACGCTGTCATTAATTGAATTTAATATTGTTTTTCTTTTTTTTTGTTTTCCACCCCGTCTATATGTTTATGTATTTATTTACGGCCATTAATCGCACATGAAATGCTATTGACACATCATAAAACTTAATTATAGATTTAAATTGAATTCTTTGCAGGCTTTGCACGTGCATTTTGTGGCCAACGGGAAATCTATTTAAATGTGAGTTCAAAATATTTCTATATATATGTATATCTATGATAAGTCAATAAATTGAAAAATCAAAAATAGACCCGAAATTAGGGGCAAGCGCATCCGCTAACGATTTGCATGCCACTAATTTTATTAGCGTGCGGCATGTGGCAAAATCAAAATCAAAATCAAAATCAAAATCATTGACATGTAACAATTTCATGGATCAAGTGGCGCAAATGTCACGCACAAATTTCATTGGGCGTTGTGGGCGTGGCCGGTCGTTCGTTATGCTGTTCGTGATTTGTGTCTGCTGCAGCGCCAATCACGTGTAAAGACGCTGCTGTGCGCTCACTTCTGGCCAGCACTGTGCTGGACTGTGGTAATATAACTTCATCTGGCTCGTTTTGGCGTGCCCTGCTAATTAGACCATGACGTGTTGTGTGTTGTTATGTGGCTTGTTCGCTGGTTGTTGTTCCTTTTGTTGTTGTTGTTGTTGTTGTTGCTGTTGCTGCCGTTGGCCAAACAAACGACGCGTCGCCCACACAAATCACGGGCATCGCAATTTTCAGTCGCAGCTAACTGTGATAAATAACTGCCGCCATGGAAGAAAAGTCTAGCTGAAATGGCCGCGGCACAACTACAAACACGCTCCATTCCGCTGCCAGTTACAACCCTTTTTGCATTGCAAATCAACATGCCACAGGGTGCACAGGGAAACTGAGCCGAGCCTGTGGGCTTTGCGCGTTGCGGCCTCCGGCTTGGCCAGTTCCCCCGCCCTTCCGTCTATCCGTCCGGCCGTCCGGCCGTCTGTTTCTGTTTGTTTCACTGGCCGTTACGTTATATTGTAATAAACGCAATTTGCGCCATGAATTATTACTGCGGCGTTTGCCAAAACGGATGTGCGAACGCAGGCAATACAAATGGAAACACGGCGCAATGCAAACGCTCAAGGATTTTGCTCTCACTCCTCGCGACTGCAGCAGGCGAAAAGGCGTGGTCAGGTTTTGTTTCTTTTCATTTTTATTTATCTAAGCAAGTACAACAACAATTCGAGTTATATTAGCCGCTCAGGAAAGCTTGCCAAATATTTTCCATCCACAATAAATTTGTGTTTTTTACGTTAAATTCTTTTTATTATTATTTAGGGTATTGATCAAAATAGATAGAGTCCGAGGTTTGCGGTCATAAAATATGCAATTTATCGAAAGGCAAGGGCAATTGGAAATAGAGCGGAATTATAGATTGACTGATTGATTGATTGATGTAGTCTGATTGTAATATAATATATTGCTTATGCTTAAGATGTAAATAATTGAATGCTTGATAATTAAACTGATAAAATTGGAATGCTTTCAATAAAAGCAATATTGTTGCATGTAACGTAATTTGTCGATAGGAAATTGCTAGTTAATTGAAGTATGTAGAAAATGTTTACGATATGTACAAACTAACATACAAAACCTGGCAAACTATATTTGCGCTTGACCTGCAGAAAGCCTATTAAAAATGTATTTTGCAATTGATCAGTTAACACACGACACTTGCCACATTGAATTCATAATTTGACAGCAAAATGAGCCGCAAATTAAAATTTAAAGCAAGAAAATTGTGTAACAAACAAATTGCGACAAATGTTGCAGTCGACTAAGGCAACAGAACAAAGAGCAACAATCAGTAGCAGAAAACCAGCTGAGGTTTTCCCTCAAAAAAAAAAGAAGCTGTCAGCGGCAGTTTTGCTTCTGAAATGCCACAAAGCGTGGTAGCAGCCGCAAAATAATCGGAAGAGACAAGCGACAGGGAAACGAAATAAATGGCTAAAAGCCAAGCAGAGAGACAGAGTTGCAGACAAGCTAAATGCCTAAAGGGCAGGCTATACAAAAGGCACAAACACACACACACACACACACACAGAGTGAAATGCACACACATACACAGCTAAAATGGCAACAAAATGGCGCCCTTTAGATTTGAGTAGCCACGTTTTGTTGCCATGGCAGCAGACGCTGCCGCTGCCGCCGCCGGATGAAGCAGCTGCGCTGCCTCGGCCATAGAAAAATCTGTGGGAAAATGCGATTCTTGTTTTGTTGCCGTTGCCAAAATGGCGGGCCGTGCGAATGCAATGGCTATATAGCATAAAACATAATGGCGTCCAATGATAAATAATGGCGCACATTTGTGCAGTCAAAACAGGAAACGCTCGTACAAAACTAAACGACAAATGGAATAATAACACGAAGTCAACAGCAACGCAGACAGACAGACAAATAGAGAGACGAACACTCAGACAAGCTGCCAAAATACGAAAAAAAGTAAACACAGAATTGTAGCTGGCAGCTCGCAGCTGTACGGCTCTAAGCGAAGCAGCGCAACCCTTGGCCAAAAGGAAAACTCCATCCAACAGCCAAGCAAAATGTGAAATGCGAAAAAAGTTATGTATAGTATAAATACATTATTGAGGCAAAAACTTTACTCAGATTTGCCGGCGCTAGACATTATGGGACACAGCGTTAAATTTTAGCTGAGCTTTGACTTTTTGGCTGTCAATAAAGTTGTTGTCGTTGTTGTTGCTATTTTTATTAGACTCCTGTTCGTTGTTGTGGACACTGCTGTTGCCAAAAGCCGTGTATCAGCTTATTAAAATTCATAAAAGCTGAGAGTCTGTTAAACTTTATAAAACTCGTGGCGATTTTAAGCCGACGCGATTGAGCTTTGTAGAGCATATTATAAACTTATATAAGTGAGGTGGCAAATAATATATCTTTACCAAAAAAAAAAAGAGACCAACAATGCTTAGTACAAACATGTTCTCAGTATAATAAAATAATAATTAACAGAATAAAAAAAATAATAGAAATGTGACACTTTTCCCCATTTTCATATCATTTTTATACCAAACGTTGCTCCTAAATGTTACGCGTAATTGTTTAATCCAAATAATTGAATTGTCTACTTACTTTGCAAAATTAATATACGTTCCGTTTTTTTCACATTTAATCCTTTAATTGATTTTAATGCAAAAAAATTTGTTTAACTGAGCGTATAAGCTCTTGTTTCATGCTTAAATAGTTATTTAAACCCTCCCTTCGTGTTTAACTAGTTCTTTAAACTTTTTCAAATTCAATTGAATTCAATTTTATGCACAAAATAAAATCTGTACATATCAACAAACTCTCGGGAAAAAAAACTCGCTGCAAGCACTTCGAAAACCCTCGGCAAATGTCAGCTAAATTTCAACTATTGCATATTTGCAGCTTTTGTCACGGGGGGGTTTTTTTTTATTTATTTCGTTTTTGATTCGATTTATTTTTCTCTATCTTTTTCAACGCACTTGGACTGCAAATCGTGTAATGGTGGATTCTTTATCGAGTGCGCGAAATGAATGCGAAAAATGTTCACCCAAAGCAAATTGAATTTTGATGGCTGAGCACAGGGTTCGTTTTTATGTTCGACCATTTTTAACACTCGTACTGAATGAGAGTGAGAAGAAAGCAGAAAGCAGAAGACATCCGACTGCTAGATGCTCTGCTTCAAATAGCTGAAAAAGTTACTGAATTTACGGAGATTAGTTTTGAGAGGTGTTATCGATTTTTAGTTAAACCTGTCTAAAGACAGAACTTAATCAAGATAAATTGTCATATACAACAATGGGTTATAGATTAACGTAGATTTATTTGTACAATAATAGTTGCCACATTTCTAGCACACAACTCAATATGCTCAAAAAAAGAGTATAAATAGCTGCAAAAGTTGTTTGTGTCAGGTTTTTTAGAGGCACAATAAAATAATAAAAAACCAATCATAAACACAACCGAAACAAACTTGTCGCGCCACGTCATGAAATGTAATTCTATGGCTTGACCCAAAAGAAATTGTAATTTTCCATGGCATACTTTGAGGAGCATTTGCAGCATATGCGACAGCAAATTGAAAGCTATTATTTGCGCTCGAACAAAGAAAAACATCTAACAAATTTGTAGATATGTTTGTTTTGCCATCAAATAAAAATGTGAGCTTTGCTTCTGTTACGCCCAGTTACACAGAATAATCATTAAGTGCAAAAACAAAAATATATTGTTGAACGCATTTGACAAGCTATCGCTTTGTAACGCTCGTATATCATGTTATTGGCTCTCGAGCGTTGTTTGCCTTGGTAAATCACAAAATTCGAATTCAAGTAGAATAACAAGCTAAAATCCAAGTCCAAATCCAAATCGAAATCGAAGTCTAAATCCTTGTATGCGTGTGCATGTAAGTAATAATTCTTGTTAAACTGTTATCGACAATACTTGATGCACTTTTCATGTATTTGCCCATTATTTTGATTGGCTTTAAGCAAATTTGCCTGTTGCCTGATATTTGTTGCTGCATTTCTTGTGGTGCCTTTGTGAATTTGATACTTGTTTAATTTGACCAAACAATTTACTTAAATTGCAAAATAATCAAAGCATAATAATTGCAACAAAATTACTGAGCTGAAAACATTTCGGTTCTCTCTACATGCCAGAAGTTAGCAAACTGCAGATCAAAATTTTCTTTGGGAAATCTTTTAATTAAATGTACATAAGCTTTACAAATTTTGAAAGGCATTCGCAAGAGGCAATTGCTAAAAAGGAACTTTACTACTCTTGTTTATTTTAGATAATATTATATTCATTATTATAATTTAAGTAGGATATGTGCTCTTGTTAGCTTTATGATATATTTTTAGCAGGCCTTGGTTGTCAGTATTACAATATATAATATATGAATAAAATAGTAATATAGCAAGGCCAAAATTGAGGCTTTCAATTAAAGAGACATAATTAGAAAACGTAACTTTTTTTATACATATTTTTGATATATCTTTTAAAACCAGTTTGACAGCTAGTCATTTATTAGTCCAATTTATTTAATGAATCGAAATGTCTTTATTATCATTATATACATTTAAATACATGTGAATTTGTCAGTTTCTAAAACAGGACACACCACAAACTCAAGGGCGTGCTGTTAGCCAAACCGCATGACAAATGCAATTTAAATGCAAT